AATCTTCTTCCACTGTCTCTTCTCTCTGGTCCCGGAGTCTCCCACTCCCAGTCAGTTCGGCAAGTTCCATATAGTCCATCATCTTCATCTGCCATTCTTCAATAGTTGGTAAATCTTGTTTCTTCCAATTCTTTGCTAGTAATATTCTCGCAGCTGTTGTGGTATACAGAAAAAAGGTAACATCCTTTTTGGGGATTTCACCCCTCAAAATGTCCAGTCTTGGTGGGTCAGGTCAAGGTTCTAAAACTGCCACTGAAAAGAGAAGAGGAAGGCATTCTAAGAAAACTCTTTCAGCATGCCACACATTCCATACCCCAAATTCATAAAGGAAATACTATCCAACGCTGGCATGCTCCATATATATGGCTTCATTTTCTTGTCTCCAAACAATTGGGATTGATGCCCCATGACAGCTGCTTCTTGCAACGTTCACGAGGTTAAGCATGAACATTCATTCGTAACATTCGCTCAGATTCTGCAAAAGAACAACCTATTGTCTGTACTAGGGTTGCCATATTTCAAGAAGTGGAAATCCGGACACTAAAGTTGTTGAGCTTTTTTGCAAAAACTCCAAAAAAAATTAATTCAGGTGTAAAAGGTAAAGGGACCCCTGACCATTAGGTCCAGTCGTGACCGACTCTGGGGTTGTAGTGCTCATCTCACTTTATTGGCCGAGGGAGCCGGCGTACAGCTTCCGGGTCATGTGGCCAGCATGACTAAGCCGCTTCTGGCGAACCAGAGCAGCGCACGGAAATGCCGTTTACCTTCCCACCGGAGCAATACCTATTTATCTACTTGCAGTTGCTTTCGAACTGCTAGGTTGGCAGGAACAGGGACCGAGCAACGGGAGCTCACCCCGTTGCGGGGATTCGAACTGCCAACCTTCTGATCGGCAAGTCCTAGGCTCTGTGGTTTAACCCACAGCGCCAGTCGCGTCCCACAGTGTGACATGCTGTGTTTCAAATGGAATGAGAGCCGGTATGTCTGCATCTGTATGTGTGCATTAGCATTTAGAAATGCTATGCACACCTGTATCTCCTTTCGCCACCTCTTTTGATGATGCCTTCCACTGGACAGCTGGTTAGAGCGTGCTGCTGATCACACCAAGGTTGTAAGTTCGCTACCCATGTGGGACAGCTGGATATTGCAGGGGGCTGGACTAGATGATCCTCAGGGCCCCTTCCAAATGATTCCAATTTTTTGGAGATGCGTAAATGGGAGGGTATGAGAGCCAGAGTCAGCGGCAATTTTTACACAGCCAGAGTCTGGTTTGGCCTAAGGAAGTTTCCTGCATTAATAACATTGCTTATTGTTTGAAAAGGAGCAAGGCTTGATTGGTATTCTAAAAATCCAGGCTGCCGCATGACAAAACATATAAATTATGTCACTGAGTTAGGGGAGGAAAGCGAAAAGATGTCCCATTTATTGAAAAATGGTTTCTGCGTGTTGCTTTATGGAATGAGAAGCCAACAATCTATTCCTCTTATTTCCTGATACGTCTCAGTATCATTCTCCCACCCGCCCCGACCATAAGTTTAGTTAGAATGCCCTGCTTTATATTAACTCAGGGTGTCTGCAGACTGTCACTGTTTTGCAGGGAGGAATTTAAACTCATGCTGCAATTGTAAGTTTGCACAATTAAAATAAATTAAATCATCTGTCACTCTGGTGCAACAAATCCACTTCCCCCCCCGGGGGGGGTGGGGCAGTTTTTTTTGCAGTTGGGAAAGTGATGGGAAAATGTACTGAAAAGTATGAATGAATGGCTTAATGGAAAGCAAATCAGGATGAACGGTCATTGTTGTATAGCGGCCTTGCAAACAGATTGCAATGAATGCTCCATAAAGACGGGACATAATCTAGCAAGCAAGTGCAAACTATGCGCAAGCTAATCAAGATGAACACTGAATAAACAGGGTGTCTGGAGGAGTCCTTAAGCTATATTAAAAATCATTCTGAAAGCTATGGTAGTCTCATCCCCCTGAGATTATTTCCTCCCCAAGACCTATTTACATAAATTCCTGTTTTGCCCCGTTAAAAATAAAAATGACGTTCTGCATCTGCTATGCAAGATTTCACTCTTTGACGGATCGCGAGGAACTTGGAACAAGTGTTTGCAGTTTTAGACGATGCATGACCTTAGCTGTTGTAATCCGATTCTCTCCTTTTTAAAAACAGTATTAATAGATTGGAAGCCCCAACTTTGGCGCAGCTTTGACATGCACAGATTTAGAGGCTGCTAAACATTTGACAAACAGGGAGAGGCTTTCCTCCCTAGTGAACAAATCCTTCGACTCGGAACCAGCGCCTGAACAGGGCAGCCCAACTCCTGACATGTCGCTTTGCAGACTCCGCGCCTCCCTGCAGCTACAGTTGTGTGCCCTTCTCATTTTTCCCTGGGGGAAATCTCCACTAGCAACCCTTTTCCATGTGCAGACTCTGATGGAGCGACTTCAGAAGGAGGGATCAGATAAGCGCCAAGCATTATATTGCAGCCGGCTGCTCTTTGATGTGATTCGAGTTTGTATCTGGCCATCGTCAGCTGCACCATTTCCCTCTCCAGAAGTTTTTGCATTTAAGTTGTGTTTGTTATCAGAGCATAGCAAGAGCCTTCTGGATCCAGTTGTGACCCATCTAGTCCTTCTGGATCCGGTTGTGACCCATGTAGCTTTAAAGGTCAGCACTAACACTTTGAATTGTGCTTGGAACATACTGGGAGCCAATGTACCGCATTTTTCGCCCCATAGGACGCACCGCCCCATAGGACGAACCTAGGTTTTTTTGGAGGGGGGAATAAAGAAAAAATATTATTTCCCCCCCCCCCAGGCATGGGGCTGGCATGGGGGGACCCCAGCCCCCAGAACAGCCTGCTATCCGCAAGCCTAGGGAGCTGTGCCGGTCTCTCCAGGTTTGCGGAGAGCTGTGCGAAGCCCGGGCGCGCTCTTCAGCGCGCCCGAGGCTTCGGAATGCAGGCAGCTCTGCGCAACCTTTGGGAGCTCGGCGCCGGGCTCCCGAGGGTTGTGCAGAGCTGCGCGGAGCCCGGGAGCGCAGGCAGTTCTGCGCAACCCTCTGGAGCCCGGTGTGGCTTGGTGCCGGGCTCCCGAGGGTTGCGCAGAGCTTCCTGAAGCCTGGAGAGCCTGTATTCACCCCATAGGACACACACACATTTCCCCTTCATTTTTGGAGGGGGAAAAGTGCGTCCTATAGGGCGGAAAATACGGTAGGTCTTTCAAGACAGGTGTTATGTCTACCAAGAAAGGAGATTGCTACTAAACATCAGGAAGAGCTTTCTGACAGCAAGAGCTGTTTGACAGTGGAACGTTCTCCCTTGGGAGGTTGTAGACTCTCCTTCCTCAGAAGTTTTTAAGCCGAGGCTGGGTGGCCATCTGTCAGGGATGCTTTTGCTGAAATTCCTGAGATGCAAGGGGGTCCCTTCCAACGCAATGATTCTATTATACTAAGTCAGCGCTGCAGCAAAATGTTGCAGTACAGAGAGCTTTTGTTAAGCCATGCTCCTCTCCCCGTCTCCCAGGTTTCCATCCTCTCCTGACACTCAGAATCCTGAGCTCAGCACACATGCTCAGTCCCCCATTAAGTCATTTTGGAATTTCACCCGCATTGGGGTTTATGTTCCATTTGGAAAAATATTGGGAGTTTTCCCCAAGCCTCTTGGCACCAGACTTGTGCATGGAAGGTGGCATTTGGGCAAGGGAAGGATAATCTTTGGCAATCACTCGTAGCCGAGTAAGATTGTCTTCCATAAACACGGTATTAACAGTGGGTCCATAAGTGACTGTGGAGGCCAATTCTGGATCCACATGTCTTTCCACAGTGGGGACATAGGTTTCCAGGTGGGAGTTGATCACGGTGTGGATTTGCCAAGTGTGCCTTCCTCTTAGCACGTTTCTCCCTTGCGTCCTGAGTTCGAGTATCTTCAAAACGCATGACACCTTCGCTAAAAGCTGTTCTCCAATTGGAGCGCTGGCAGGCCAGTGTTTCCCAGTTGTCGGTGTTTATACTACAATTTGTAAGATTTGCCTTGAGAGTCTTTGAACCTCTTTTGCTGGCCACCAGCATTACGCTGGATAATAACACAGTGAAGGAGGATATAAGCAGAGGTAGCAACTGTTGTTCTGCCAAGGGACAATTTTCAGTTTTTCCCATGGCTACCTCAGATTAGAATTCCGAGTCCTGAGATACATTAACTTGATGGGGTTAGTCTCAGATAAGTGTACAGTGGTACCTCAGGTTACATACGCTTCAGGTTACATATGCTTCAGGTTACAGACTCCGCTAACCCAGAAATAGTACCTCAGGTTAAGAACTTTGCTTCAGGATGAGAACAGAAATCATGCTCCAGCGGCACGGCGTCAGCAGGAGGCCCCATTAGCTAAAGTGGTACCTCAGGTTAAGAACAGTTTCAGATGTCAAAGAGATAAATAATTACCTGATATTCAGAAGACATCTTAAGGCAGCCCTGTTCAGGGAAGTTTTTAATATGTAACGCTGTACTGTTTTTAACACTGATTGGGAGCCGCCCAGAGTGGCTGGGGAAACTCAGCCAGATGGGCGGGGTATAAATAATAAATTATTATTATTATTATTATGGTTAAGAATGGACCTCTGGAACGAATTAAGTACTTAACCCGAGGTACCACTGTATGCGTGTGTGTGTGTGTGTGTGTGTGTGTGTGTGTGTATAAACACACATAAGATGATGGGTTACAATGATAAAATAAATAAATCGACCATAAAAAAGTTGTTAAAAAACATTAAAAACAATTCCATATATAAAACCAGTGCTTTTTTCCTAAAAGAAATTGTTTAGAGGTACTCTCGTTTTCCTACTCATATTGAAATACTGCCCCTCAATGAGGCTAAACTTAGATTCACAAAATGTTTAGGGGTATGCGTACCACCCTAAATAAAGCACTGTATAAAACAATGTGTGCTTCCACCAGCAGTTTCCTTCAGAGACTACGCAAACACTTAAAAACAAATTCCATGGATAAAAGCAGATTTTAATATGTGGTCCTCCCTGCTACCATTTTATTGTTACAATAACCCTGCAAGGTTGGTTAGGCTGAACATTACTAAGTCAACACCTGGAGCCTTGAGGACCAGAAGTTTGAATTACAAAGGAAGTCTGGCGCCAGGGGTGAATTACGCAGCCAGGATCAAATGATCCACTGGGAACATGTAGATGTCCTGGAAATATTGTTCACACTCAACGGCTGCTGCTTTCCTCGGCAGAAGCACCTCCACCCATAGCCACTGGATTAGCTTTAATTATTCTGATAGATGCTAATAAATCACTGTTGTCATCCTCACTTTCATAGCCGCAGTGAATTCTGTCTGCTTAAAGACCCATGAGAGGAAAGGGTTTGTGCTGTGTGGGGAATGAGCACCCTCTAGTGGCAACAGTGTTTTATACCTTTAAAAAGGTAAAGGTACCCCTGCCCGTACGGGCCAGTCTTGACAGACTCTAGGGTTGTGCGCCCATCTCACTCTATAGGCCGGGGGCCAGCGCTGTCCGCAGACACTTCCGGGTCACGTGGCCAGCGTGACAAAGCTGCATCTGGCGAGCCAGAGCCGCACACGGAAACGCCGTTTACCTTCCCGCTAGTAAGTGGTCCCTATTTATCTACTTGCACCCGGGGGTGCTTTCGAACTGCTAGGTTGGCAGGCGCTGGGGCCGAGCAACGGGAGCGCACCCCGCCGCGGGGATTCGAACCGCCGACCTTTCGATCGGCAAGCCCTAGGCACTGAGGCTTTTACCCACAGCGCCACCCGCGTCCCGCTATTTATACCTTTATTCCACACCAAAATAAAGATGGTCATTCCTGGACCAATAATGCAATTGCACAGGGATTTTTTTCCAGTAGGAAATTATATTCGGACACCCAGATCTAGCAAGAAAGCTGTGGCTCTTCAGATTGTGCCAGCATGCGATGCAATGCTTTTTCGGTTCACCTTGAACGAGTACACTGCAGTCAAAAAGCATAGCTGTCAACTTTTCCCTTTTTTAAAGGAATAGGATTCCTCGCAAGACAAGGGAAAAGTTGACAGCTATGTCAAAAAGGAGAATGTTGGACTCAAGACTTGGAATAGTTAAATTTGTTGCTCGTTGGTGGGGAAAGCAACTGACCAAACCAAAAAGTGACTAACAGCTAGCGTGATCCTGTGTTGACCCAGAAGCTTTGGGGGAAAAGCAAAGTCCACAGCAGGGATAATTAAAAACGAGATCGTGAGGTCGCGCCACCGTTTATAATCATCGGGCACCTTCCTGGAAGGCGCTTTGGCAATCGTAAAGGTTGTATCAAAGCACCTCTGGGAAGCTGGACCTGTAGCCGTGGGAAGCAGAGGACAGTGGCATAGCGTGGATTGCTGGTGCCCGGGGCGGGAAAACTGCCGACACTGCTGGAGTGTCCCTCCTGGAGCCCTCGTATCTACGGGACCGCCTCTCCCGGTATGCCCCACGGAGAGCCTCAAGGTCCATAAATAGCAACACCCTAGTTGTCCCGGGCCCTAAGGAAGTTAGATTAGCTTCAACCAGAGCCAGGGCCTTTTCGACACTGGCTCTGGCCTGGTGGAACGCTCTGCCTCATGAGACCAGGGCCCTGCAGGATCTGATTTCTTTCCGCAGGGCCTGTAAGACAGAGTTGTTCCGCCTGGCCTTTGGCTTGGAGCCAATTTTATTCCCTCCTCCTCTTTCTTTTTCCTTTCTCCTCCTATGATGAGGCTGCATTTTAATATTTTAATGTTTCAGTATTTTAATTGTTGTATTTTAATCTTGTTTTTAAGTTGTATTCATTCAACTTGTTTTTATTATTGCTTGTTAGCCGCCCTGAGCCCGGCCTTGGCTGGGGAGGGCGGGGTATAAATAAAAATTATTATTATTATTATTATTATTATTATTATTATTATTATTAAATGGGACCCAGGGGAGCCCAGTCAGTTGCCATGTCCCTTGGTAGGCAAATGCCGCTGACGCCTGCGGAGAAGAGCACTGGGCCATGCTAGGTTCACCCTTGCTCACTTTCCTCCATCTGCACTTGCTCACACTATCTAGGGAGACGTCTTCAATAGGATGCACAACAAGGCTGCTGAGGGACCTGGCATGGGGGGGGGGTGTCCCAAGGACCAGCTGGTGGTTTGTGCAGAGGAGACAGTCCTCTCCCCCTCTTTAGGAAAAGAGAGTGGCACATTCCACCTGGCTTAACTTCTCCACCCTAAACTAGCCAGTGGCCTGCAGCCAGCATTAATGCAAGATTCAGCTGATGTCAGATTCGGCATACGGAAGGAGGCTGCCATTTGTTTGTTGCCTCAGGCGGCAGAATGCCTTGAGCCAGCCCTGCTATCCCGGCAGAAGCTTTTTGAACCTGTTGTGTTGATTGAAAGAGGTAGGGGAGCTCAGTCTTCTGCCCTGAACAGTCACAGAGCAGCCCGCATTCCCCCGGGCTCTTGGCCACCCCTGCTCTAGGGCAACAGAGTTCCATTGCTTCTGGCAGGCAGCACTCCTTGTTAGGAAACATTCTTCCAACCAAGTGTGGAAGAGCAGCTCATGTTGCACTGCTCAGCAAACTGGAGCTGCTTCCATAGCAAAGACTCCTCAATGGATTGCACCCAGTTGCAGAACCAGACCCTTCAAGGGTTCCTATTTTCCAGGGACGGTCCCAGATTTACAGAAGCCGTCCTGGTTTCTGATTTGATCCCTGAATGTTCTGCTCTTCCTTAGGACGTTCCTATTTTCACTGGAGAAATGTTGGAGGGTAAGGACTTATGTGACCACCAAGCCCAGGAGATAAGTAACTATACAACCTTTAGAATACATCTGCAGTTTTTTTAATGTTTAATGTTTTATTATGTTTTTTATATACAGTGGTACCTCTACTCATGAACTCAATCCGTTTAAGTAGAGCGCTACTACTGCACATGCACGAAGTGCGATAGAGTGCTTCTGCGCATGTGCGAAGTGCGCAGATCACTTCTGCACATGTGGCGAACCCGCAAGTAAACACTTCCAGGTTTGCTGCATTCATAACTTGAAAAGCCGCAACGTAAAGCAAACATAACACAAGGTATGACCGTATGCTGAAAACTGCCCAAAGTGGCTGGAGCAACCCAATCTGATGTGTGGTTTATACATATTATTATTGTTGTTATTATTGTTACTATTATGGACTAAAGGTAAAGAGACCCCTGACCATTAAGTCCAGTTGTGGCCGACTCTGGCCAAGGGAGCCGGCGTACAGCTTCCGGGTCATGTGACCAGCATGACTAAGCCGCTTCTGGGGTGCGTGGAGGGAGGTCATTTTTTAAAAACATCAGATTTTATTGATATTTTTATTGTCTCTCTCTTTTTATGTAAACTACATATCGGTTTGGTCAATTAAACTGTATATACATCCTGTGAAATATATAAATATTTTGGAAGCAGTTAATGTGTACCTTGTCCCCGTTACTTTGATTGGTTGCTGCAATTTTCTTTGTTTTGAAGATGGCATGCTCCTAATAAAAAGGAAATTAAAAGTTTTCCTTCTTCTAAAAGTCTAGGTAACTAATTGCGCATGGGGGCAGCGGCTATAAACTCTTTCCTAGAGATTCTCACAACTTATTGTCCTCTTGCCCCAAGAGCATGGAAGACAATCTTACTCAGCTATGAGTGATCACCAAAGAGAGAAAGAGAGGTGTCAAATCTTTTTTCAAAGAGGGCCAGATTTGACGAAGTGAAGGGCTGTGACCTTTTTTTAGGATTGAAGTTGTTGAGCTTTTTTTAGGGTTGAAATAGTTGAGCTTTCTTTAGGATTGATGTTGCAGGGTTTTTTAAAGATTTTACCCGACTGCCACAGGGGCCGAATTAAACCGACCGGCAGGCCAGATTAGGCCCCTGAAATGGACTTTGGGTATGCCTGCCCTAGAGACTTCCAACATTTTTGTAGACAGGTCTTTGACGAGTCAAGGTGTTTTTAAACTGGCTACAAGCAATGACAAACCTAGACAGCATCTTAAAAAACAGATACATCACATCACCTTGCTGACAAAGCTATGTATAATTAAAGCTATGGTTTTCCCAGTGGTGATGTATGGAAGTGAGAGCTGGACCATAAAGAAGGCTGATCGCCAACATGTTATGGGGGGTAGGAGTTATGCTAGGGGGTGGGGCAGAACCGAGCTATATCTGACACAGTCAGTTAATTAAGTATTTTTATTTACTTGATTTGGGGGAGGGCAGCTGTCCTTCCCCTGCCCACCCCCATGCTGGCTATGCCCATGGCTGCAAATTCATGCTTCATTCTGTATTGTTCCAGCTCTTGAGTGGCTGTTTTTATCTGCTCCTCTACTTTAACATTACACATTTTTATCGCTGGTTTTTAAATTGTGCTCTTATTGCTAACCAACCCAAGTACCAAGCATTTGAACCAACTACAGGACTCATGTCCCGCTTATGGGCTTTCATAGACATCATAGAATCATAGAGTTGGAATAGACCACAAGGGCCATCGAGTCCAACCCCCTGCCAAGCAGGAAACACCATCAGAGCACTCCTGACATATGGTTGTCAAGCCTCTGCTTAAAGACCTCCAAAGAAGGAGACTCCACCACACTCCTTGGCAGCAAATTCCACTGTCGAACAGCTCTTACTGTCAGGAAGTTCTTCCTAATGTTTAGGTGGAATCTTCTTTCTTGTAGTTTGGATCCATTGCTCCGTGTCCGCTTCTCTGGAGCAGCAGAAACAACCTTTCTCCCTCCTCTATATGACATCCTTTTATATCTTTGAACATGGCTATCTTATCACCCCTTAACCTCCTCTTCTCCAGGCTAAACATGCCCAGCTCCCTTAGCCATTCCTCATAAGGCATTGTTTCCAGGCCTTTGACCATTTTGGTTGCCCTCCTCTGGACACGTTCCAGTTTGTCAGTGTCCTTCTTGAACTGTGGTGCCCAGAACTGGACACAGTACTCCAGGTGAGGTCTGACCAGAGCAGAATTCAGTGGCACTATTACTTCCCTTGATCTAGATGCTATACTCCTATTGATGCAGCCCAGAATTGCATTGGCTTTTTTAGCTGCCGCGTCACACTGTTGGCTCATGTCACGTTTGTGGTCAACCAAGACTCCTAGATCCTTTTCACATGTACTGCTCTCAAGCCAGGTGTCACCCATCTTGTATTTGTGCCTCTCATTTTTTTTGCCCAAGTGCAATACTTTACATTTCTCCCTGTTCATCTTGTTTGTTTTGGCCCAGTTCTCTAACCTGTCAAGGTCGTTTTGAAGTGTGATCCTGTCCTCTGGGGTGTTAGCCACCCCACCCAGTTTGGTGTCATCTGCAAATTTGATCAGGATGCCCTTGAGTCCAGGTTGGCCACTGCAAGGACAGGAAGCCAGACCAGATAAGCCTTTGGTCTGATCCAGCACAGATCTTCATATGCTCCTCTGCTTCGTGACAGCACGAGATTTTTTTTTTACCTCTGGGACCAGTTCTTGTAAGGATTTAAGAGAACCAGACATGTCAAAGCAGAGGAACCAAGATTGAGAAACTGGTTTGTCCAATGACACCCAATTTGTGGACCTGGGGTGGGATCTGAATTCAGGTTTCCAAGTGACTTCAAGATCATACTGGATCTTAGCAGCTAGCATTGTCCTAGGAATTCATGCAGGATGAGGGCGTTTAGACAGACACTTGCATGAAATCTGTCATGGTCAACGTGTCAATGTGCTAAGTTAAGAAACGAAAAGACAGACCAACTGATGAGGTCACGACAGAAGAATCTAGTGGGTTTTTTAAAAAAACAAACAAACATGTATTTGGAATGATGCAATCAGTTCTTATGTTGATTACACAAATGACTGGAGTAACAAGGGAAAGGAGTGATTTTACATTCCTTGGCTTGGGGGTCACATAACTCCATAACCTCTAACTTTTGGATGTCCTAAAGAAGAGCAGGACATTCAGGGATCAAATCAGAAACCAGAACGGCTTCTGTAAATCTCCTTCGAAGACATACACACACATACAAATTGAACAATGACTGTTCATTTATAGTCAAAGGCAATAGGGCAGTAAAACTGCTCATATGAACTGAGAGAGGTGTTGCTATGCAAGACATTTTCATAAAACAATTGGCTCCCCAAATATCGGGCTGGACTCTCAACAAAACTTTTAAAATACATCTTATTGCCAATTCCTTATGCCCTGACAGGAGAACAGTTGGGAGGTCTTGCACTGCCGCAAGGCCCCTGTACACAGATTAGGACGCTGTCACAGATTTGCTTCTGTAAAAGGGTTTTGTACAGAGAGAAGGATAGACATTTGTGCAACACTCAAGTTAGCTGGACTTCTGCCTTTCTTCTTCTTCGTCATCATCGCTGCCATCGTCTTTCACCTTCTCTTCCGCTTTCTCTTTCACCTTCTCTTCTGCTTTCTCTTTCACAGTTCTTTTGGGGAGAAAGCGCTCGACTTTTAAATCCAAGCTTTCGCTTGTTGAACTGCAAATGCTCAAGTGTGTCACAAACGGGCCTAGAAAAAAAGAAAGGGGGGAGGAAAAACCCAGCTTATCACTTTGGTGCTCTTGCTGACAAGCCAAGCAACATGCGCTGCGAGATCTGGAACACTGATCACACTGTCCTCAAGTTATTAAAAGTGTTGTAGAAAATAGTACAGGGCCAGGCCTAGCCAAAAGTAAAGCACTTTTAAGGCTCTTAAATTTCAGTGTGAGAGATTTAGGAATGTACTAAACCTGCCTATGGAAAATGGACGTCATGTATCTGTTCTCAGCTTTGGCTGAGAAACTTAGCTTTGACCTAAATGCTGTAATGAAATGTGTAAAAATAAAAGTTTGCTGCCGTCAACCGAATTGATATCTGATAGATTGAGCTCTTTCACCTTCACATCTGGTGACAAGAGAAGCCCCTGCTTTCATGCTGGGATTGTGAATGTGGCAATCTGTATTACTTCTGTAAACACGGTTATTTACAGTATCTAGGGGCAAACCTTGGCTTTCAATTTGATTGTTGAGCTGGTGTTGTGGAGCAGCTTAAGAGTGTGAGCTGGAAAGCCCCACAATTTCAAAGCTTAGCTCAAGAGAAAAAGGGAAGCAGCAGCAGGAGACACAATTTCTGTGGGGCACTGAAAATGGATTAAAAACACACTTGTGTTGGGGCGCAGTGTTCTGCAGTCTGAAAAGGAGAGTAGTTGCTCAAATTATCCATCTGCAACAGGGGTAGTTAACCTGTGAGACAGGGCGAACATGAGAACCAGATCGGGCCCACAAAAGCCTTTCGAAGGGGCCTGCTAGCCCACAACTTCCTTCCCATAGCAGGTTGGGAGGAAAGCCTCTTCCACACTCCCCATGCATATTAATGGAGAGATTGCGCTTACCATTAACTTGCATGGGGAGGTGCACCCACAATAACGGTGGGGATAGGTTATACCCACCCACCCCCCAAAAGGCCCTGTTACACCAAGGATCTCTGACTGATGGGAGTGGATAGGCTTCTCCCCCCACTCCAGCTATTTTCAGGGCTGCAACCTCTTGCATCTCTCTATTCCTCCTCCCCCCCTCCCCCCTCCCCCCCCCACCAAGTTAATGGCATGCAGCCTTGAAAGTCTGGCGCACCTTGAATGTAGCCCTCAGGATGAAAAAGGTCCAGCACCAAGGGCCTTCTGGCGGTTCCCTCACTGAGAGAAGCCAAGTTACAGGGAACCAGGCCTTCTCGGTAGTGGCACCCGCCCTGTGGAACGCCCTCCCACCAGATGTCAAAGAGAACAACTACCATACTTTTAGATGACATCTGAAGGCAGCCCTGTTTAGGGAAGCGTTACTTTATTTTAATATTGTGTTGGAAGCCACCCAGAGTGGCTGGGGAAACCCAGCCAGATAGGCAGGGTATAAATAATAAATTTTATTATTATTATTATTATTATTATTATTATTATTATTACCCCTGAGCTGCAATATAGGGGGAGAAATTCTCACCGGCCTTTCAACGTTATTGCTGTTGGATATTCTCTGTGTGTGAGAGAATCATTTGTTCCAGAAACAGAGAGGAACAGAGGATAAGTTTCAAGAAGCAGCAGAAGGCCGAGATTGTTTTGTCTATGCAAGGACTTTTTCTGCGAGGACTGTTCTTTGGAAATGCGCGGCATGACAGGAAGCGCTGATAACAACAGTTCTGTGTAACTTCTTGTGAGTCTCTTGCTCGCAGTGAGAGAAGCAGAGAAAGTGTGTCTTGGACTTTTGTTTAGACTCTGACCACGTCAGGGGTGAATGTCTGTATATATTTGCTACCAATATGCTTTAATGCCTGTCAAGTAAACCTCTACACTTGACTGAATCTTTATGGCGTCCATGAGTGTTTATTGCCTACTGTGTGTACCTTCAACCCGGAAGACACTTCCAAGGAAGAAGATGCATTGAGATGCAACTCTGCTGAGGACAGATCCTGGCACACACAGGCAGTGGAAGTAATGCCGGACCCAATCCTTCTAAATCATCCATCTAAATCAATTGCAAATATCCCTGAGATAAAGTGCATGGAGTGCTCTGAGCACTCTTTAAAAGGTAAACATACCCCCTGACCATTAGGTCCTGTCGTGGCCAACTCTGGGGTTGCGGAGCTCATCTCACTTTACTGGCCGAGGGAGCCGGCGTACAGTTTCCGGGTCGTGTGGCCAGCATGACTAAGCCGCTTCTGGTGAACCAGAACAGCACACAGAAACGCCATTTACCTTCCCGCCGGAGCAGTACCTATTTATCTACTTGCACTGGTGTGCTTTCGAACTGCTAGGTTGGCAGGAGCAGGGACCAAGCAACGGGAGCTCACCCCGTCGCGGGAATTTGAACTGCCGACCTTCTGATCAGCAAGTCCTAGGCTCTGTGATTTAACCCACAGCGCCACTCGCATGTTAATGTTTATTATGTGACTTCTACTCAAGGAGGTGTAAGGCTTAACACAAGCAGAGAACAGAATGGCTGCCAGTCCCAGCCTGGGTTATCTTTATTCTTGGTGCCTATCCTGTATTAGCTGGAGAAGAGCAAAGGAACAGCAGGCAGAAATCTCAAGGACAATGAAGTATAGAGGCCCCGTGTAAATGTCACACCCAACCATGGGTTTTGTTACGTGCACAAGCCTGAAACTTGCACCCTCCTTCTCCGTGCGCGGCAGGAGGAGCCATGACTGTTCACATTTTAGAATAAACTGTTGTTGTGTCTGAACTCGGCAAAAATAGTGGTTTGTTCAAACCACAGTTTCTTAACAGGCCAGGATACCAAACCATCCTCCTTTGATGCACGATGGTTTGAACAAACCACAGTTTGCCAAGTTCAGACGAACAAAAAAATAATAATTGTGGTTTCTTCTAAGACGCGAACAGAAGCTTTAAATCTCTTTCCTTTGCATGAAAGGGGGAGGGGGAGACCAGGCTCCAGTGGATTCCTGGACAGATCAATGCCCCCTGGTTGGTTGCTCCCTCTGAACTGGGTCAAAGGCTACGCTGGTTGAAATTTTTAGAGATGCTACTGGGTCCAGGACCACCCAGCTTTCTCACACGAGGCCAATGAGAAGGTATTTGCTAAGGCAGCCAAGTGGAGGTTGCCGCTCTAGCCGTTACAGGCAGTGGAGAGGGTGCAACCGTCCAATTAGCATTTATACAGTGTTTCTCGTTTCATCCAGTACAGTGACTTTAAAGTCCCATATTGCAGGCGTGTGCGAGGGCACCCCCTCTAAATTCATAGCCAAGCTGAGGTTGGGACTGGGGATTCCAGCCTAAAGTGTATGTCCTTAACTGCCAACACCATCTCTTTTTAAAAGGACTTCCCTAAGGCAAAACCAAACTGCTTAAATCATAGAAGAGTTGGAAGGGACTCTGAGGATCATTGCAGGAATATGCAGCTGTCCCATACAGGGACTGAATATATATCAGCACTTGCAAATTTAGGGACATACCCCACCTTAAACTTTTCAGATAATAATTCGTTCTTTTTTAAAAAAGAGACCAATATCAAAATTTGCACTGGGATTCCATAGGTATCTGCAAAAAGATGGTGTTTGATGTTTCAAAAGCTTCCAGGATTAGGCTGGAGCCAGGAAAACGTCACACACCATTCCAAGAGGATGAGAAAATAGCTTCCAAAAGCTTCCCTCTGAAAGGAAAGAAGCAGGCTTACTACTGTTAATGATATCCTTTAAGTACATCCCTCTTGACACAGCGCTGCCTGTTAAGTGTTCCTTATTGCTGGGCTTGGCTGCATGGGTTTTTAAAAAAATAATAATAATAAAGTCATTTCCCCTCCTTGGTGGTAGAAAGGTGCTCCCTTTATTCATCTGTGTAATATAATTAGCTTTTAGTGTCAATTAAGGGACTAAAAGAGAAGAGCAGCTTACCGTAGCTCAAAGGTTTGTATTTACAAACGTCTTTAATAACCGCGTCCAGATTGGCAACGATCTGATCATTAGGCATATCCAGCTGAAAGAAGTTAATGCAAAATTAATGAAGCAGAAAACATTAAACGCTCCCGGATTAATAAAAACTGCAGCGGCTGGGGTAAATATTTAATCAGAGTTCTGGGCTTTTGTTTTTTAATAAAAAAGGGGGGACATTTTCCTCTCTATTAAAGATGCAAAGTGCCATAAATGCCATTAGCGTCATTAGCTTAAAGATATTCTGCTGTGAAAAAAAGAGAGATATTTGTACTCCAACTCAACCACTGTAAATATATAGGTGTACAGTGGTGCCTCGCAAGACGAAATTAATTCGTTCCGCAAGTTTTTTCTTCTTGCGAGTTTTTCGTCTTGCGATGCACGGTTTCCCATAGGAATGCATTGAAAATCAATTAATGCGTTCCTAGGGAAACCGACTTCAGACCAGGTCCGGGGACAGTCTGTCCCCCGACCTCTTCTGAAGGCTGGGGGGGGGGACAAGGGCTTTTCTTCCCACCCCCAGCATTTTAAAAAAACCCGGGACAGCGGAGGGCTTCTCCGCTGTCCGGGGCGATCTTAAAATGCTGGCAGGCGGCATTTTAAAATCGCCCCGGGACAGCGGAGGACTTCTCCGCTGTCCTGGGCGATTTAAAAGCCCCTGGGAAGGCAGGCAGGGGGGACAAAGACTTTTGCCCCCCCCCGCCAGCCTTCAGAAGAGGTCCTGGACCTCTTCTGAAGGCTGGCGGGGGGCTAAAGTCTTTGTCCCCCCTGCCTGCCTTTAAAAGCCCTCCCGGGAGAGCGGAAAAACGCGCTGCGTTTCTCCGCTCTCCCGGGAAGGCAGGCAGGGGGGACAAAGACATTTGCCCCCCGCCCTCCTTCAGAAGATGTCCAGGACCTCTTCTGAAGGCTGGCGGGGGCGAAAGTATTTGCTCCCCCCCGCCTGCCTTCAAAAGCTGTCCGGCCAAGGCTTCGCGGACCTCTCCGCAAGCAGCGGCAGCGCTGCCGCTGCTTGCGGTGAGTTGCCGGCATGCCGAAGCCTGCGCACGCTGAGATCAGCACGCCCAGGCTTCGCGGACCTCTCCTGCCTTCAAAAGCCGCCCGGGATAGCGGGAAGCGCTTCCCTGCTACCCCGGACTGCTTTTAAAATGCTGGCGGTGGGGAGCAAAGCCTTTCGGCCCCCGCCAGCCTTCCTGGACCTCTTCTGAAGGCTGGAGGGGGGGGGAAAGGCTTTGCTCCCCACCGCTAGCATTTAAAAGAGGTCCCCGGAGATTTCCCTATGGGCTTTCGTCTTGCGAAGCAAGCCCATAGGGAAATTCGTTTTGCGAAGCGCCTCCAAAACGGAAAACCCTTTCGTCTAGCGGGTTTTCCGTCTTGCGAGGCGTTCGTCTTGCGGGGTACCACTGTATATACCCCCTGCTTAGGCTGCCTGCTATGGGATTGACTCTCAATATGTAAGTCCTCAGATAAAATCAAATCTGTAAGGTTTAATATGCAGCAAGCTGCCTGGGAGCCTAGGGCAAACATCATCTCCTTGGGAGTAAAGGGGAGGAGAGGAAGGAAACTGGTCAGACAGAAGCTGTGGTCCTAAGTAAATCAGTCTTAGTTAAAATATGGATTGAGAGAAAATTACATACTGCACAAAGATCAGCCACGGATTGTAAAATTCTCATCTGCAAGCAAAACTGTTTGTGAACATTCCATAGCATCTCATCAACAAACGGCTGGACTTTGAGCATCAGCGGTGGCGAAACCACCAGCCCTCCAGGTTTTGATGAACTACATCTCCCATCAGCCCCAGCAAGCATGTAGCCAATGGCCTGGGATGACAAGGGTTGCAGTCCCCCACACCTATCCTACACAAATATTGGGGCAGTATTGTTCAGGAAGAGGGTGAGGCTGGCAGTCTGAATTGGCCCTGGGAGACTTTGCAGAGCGGTTTGCAACATGGAAAACACAAAAGCCCACAACACACTTAGGAAACGCAAGCAATACCTCTCTCCCACACAAAGACACTTGAAAAGGCCACAGGCTGTAAGGCTGATTTAGTACAGAAGACTTTCCCAATGTAGAGCAGGGCTTCCCAAATTTGGGTATCCACAGCTGTTTTTTGGACTACAACTCCCATCATCCCTAGCTAGCAGGACCAGTGGTCAGGGATGATGGGAACTGTAGTCCAAAAACAGCTGGAGACCCAAGTTTGGGAAACACTGATGTAGAGGAAGAGTGAGGGGAGACCAAGAGCGTAAGAAGAGCTCTGCTGCATTGGGAAAAGGCCTACCTAGTCCAGCATCCCATTCACACAGTGGCCAATTTGATGCCTATGGGAAACCTGAAAGCAGGAGCCTTTTCCCACTGGTGATTCACAGCAACTGGTATTCAAAGCCTCTGACAGTGGAGTGCCTTTAGGGATTAAATGGGAGGTACTTCATCCTAGCCCTGCTACTAAATAAACATCTCTACAAAAAATATGCTTTCTGGTAGGCACATAGGAGAGTTCCCCTGTGCCCTAGGCCACTGAGAAGCAGCAAATAGGGAGAACAGCTCTCTTTCTTCCCTCGCTTCAGACTCACGTACGTGGCCACACTGACAATCTCGTCTTGGAAACTCTGAAGACTTTCCCATATCGTTCCAACTACAGTGGAACCTCGTGTTACGGACGGGATCTGTTCCGGAGGCCCGTCCACAACATAGAACTAACGCAAGCCTAAGCACTGTGACTGCACATGAGCACAGCGTGATTTAGCACTTCTGCGCATGTGCAAGCAGCAAAACCCGGAAGTAACCGTTTCCGGTACTTCCGGGTTGCCGCAGGACACAACACGAAAACACGTAACCTGAAGCGGACACAACACGAGGTATGGCTATATATTTCTGGCATTCACCAGATCCACAGGTGGACAAACAGATCTGAACACAAAATAGTTTTTAATATACAGAACGTATTTTAGAAACGCAAGCAGCTGACTCTGTCTTCATGTAAGTGGAAGTGCCTCTTCTAAGCTGATATGCCACAAAGCACCGGTACAGTCTTACCTCGGGTTAAATGTGCTTCAGGTTGAGTGTTTTCAGGTTATGCTCTGCGGCGACCCGGAAGTAACAGAGCATGTTACTTCCGGGTTTCGCCACTTGCCATGTGCCGACACTCAAAATGACGTCACGCGCATGCATGGAAGCGGCGAATCGTGGCCAACGCACGCGTGGGTGCGGGTTGTGTTCGCTTCAGGATGCGAATGGGGCTCTGGAACGGATCCTGTTCGCATCCTGAGTTACCACTGTACACTGCCAAACGAGTATGTGTCTTGCTGCAGAATTGCTTTTTATTCATATGATTAAAGGCACTAAGATTTCTTTAACTACGTGACAATCCGATTTTTAGAACACATGGATTTCTGCCAGGTATTACAACTAGGCAGTTGCTGAATGTCACCTCGACACTGCATTTCAATGCCATTTTGTACAGTATGTTTTACAGAGGCAAATCCACTCAGATAACTGAGTCACCACCCCCCGCTGCCCAGGGGACTATCCCATAATCTGAGAAATACTGACCTATTCAGTATACAGTTTGCTACCCACCCTGGGCTTTTAGGACAGGGCAGGCTATTAATGTATATTATTAAGGGGGTGCTCCTTGCCAACGTGATGTAAATCTTGCTTTCTGGTGTATTCAGAAAGGAAACCTCTTACGTTAGCAGAGGGTAATGATTTGCAGACTTTTCCCCCTAACTGACTGTCCTGTGGGATGACCCATTTCGAAGTGTTCCTGAAATGCAACGAAGAACGAAAGCTGTGTACCTGTGCGTACTTTCAGTAAATGATTAACAACGGCTTGAATTCGGCCGGACAGGCTGCCAAAATCCCTTGTGAAACTTACCATTCCGATGGGAGTGTGGATGAGGTTACCGTTCTCTACTTCGTATTCGTGGCACACTTTAAAGAACTGGAGCATCTGGAGAATGTCGTAACTGAGAGAACCTGATTCAAAGTGGGGAAAGAGGTGGAGGGAGGTGTCAAGACAAAATGCTGCAGGACAAACAGAGCTGTGTGTCAACAGGCGTTCTTTGGTGAGGCTGAGAAGCGCGTCACACGCCACAGTGGGGACCTGTGTGCAGAGTATCATTGGTAAAGGTAAAGGGACCCCTGACCATTAGGTCCAGTTGTGGCCGACTCTGGGGTTGTGGCACTCATCTCGCCTTACTGGCCGAGGGAGCCGGCGTACAGCTTCCGGGTCATGTGGCCAGCATGACTAAGCTGCTTCTGGCAAACCAGAGCAGTGCACGGAAACGCCGTTTACCTTCCCGCCGGAGTGGTACCTATTTATCTACTTGCACTCTGACGTGCTTTTGAACTGCTAGGTTGGCAGGAGCAGGGACCGAGCAACGGGAGCTCACCCCGTCGCGGGGATTCGAACCGCCAACCTTCTGATCGGCAAGCCCTAGGCTCTGTGGTTTAACCCACAGCGCCACCCATGTCCCTTAGAGTATCATTCCCTGGTGCTAAAAGAATGTGAGGAATCCTGTCTGCACGGCAAAGCCTTGCTATGGCCAACATTTGCAAGTTGAGCAGGTTCCCAATCTAGGTAACGGGGGGAGGAACTGGCATTCATGTTTACAATCTGCAAAATCTTGCAATGCAGCCCAACAGCTGACCTCCACTTCTTCTTGCCTGATCCCTAGAGGACAAGGGCTCCACTGAGGAAGAAGGGGTATCCTGCCACCTCAATCCCTTTTACAACCACTCCTTGCTCTGCAGGATTCTCTCAGCACCCTTACGCTGCAGCAGCTAATCACCATTAAGGCTTAGGGTTGCATTCAACTAAATCACAGAGTGACTCACGAGTGCAGTGGAAATTCCCCATTCCCACAACGTCCCCTGTGTTAAGCCTTTTGCAGGAAGAGTCCTGTGACTCCTCAAAGGCTTAACAAATGGAGGCCGAGACCTTTAGGCCTTCCAGAGCTTGCTGAACTACAACTCCCATGTTTAGGGGTGGTGGGAGTTGCAGTTCTGGAGGGCCACAGATTCCCTGCCCCTGGCCTGCCTCCTGTGCAACAACTGCATATCCAATTGTTGTCGCTGTTACAATTTGTATTATGCCCTTTATCAAAAAATCCCAGGGCCGTGTACAACCTTAAAAACACATTACAGAACATCAATGATATGTAAAGAAAAAGAAGGAACATTTTATCATATGTGATGGGAATGTAAAAAAGTAAAGAGCTTCTGGGAAATGATATATAATGAGATGAAAAAGATGTTGAAATATACATATTTTTTTAAACCAGAAGCATTTTTCTTGGTATTATAGGTCAGGACATTAATAGGCAAGATGTTAAATTGTTTTTATATGCAACAACGGCGGCAAGAGTATTGTTAGCCCAGAAATGGAAACAAGAAGAAATTCCGACGAAAGAAGAATGGCAGACGAAATTAATGGACTATGCAGAATTGGACAAAATGGCAGGAAGGATTCGAAACCTGCGGGACCAGAGATTTACAGAAGATTGGAAGAAGTATATTAATTATTTGAAGAGCAACTGTAATCAACAAATTACGCTAGTAGGACCACAAGAAGTTTTGTAAGGAGAAATATACGAAGTGTTACAAAGCAGAAAAAGATAGAGATATTGGTTATGAGTTTGAAGTGTAATAGGGAAAATAAGAAATGCATACTAAGAGATTAGATTGGAAAATTTTCAGACAGGACTGATGGAAGTCCAAAAAAATTGAATAAGATGTAAAAGTATGTTTAATTACTGTTGAAAATGATATGTTAAAAGACTAATAAAAAATTTACATAATAAAAAAATAAAAAACAGAACATCAATGATAAGAACATAATAAAAAGCATGCTGACAGACAGCCTAATAAATCAGCCTATCGATGCGGCTCGTGGAACATCATCAGGTGTGTCTGCAGCTGATTTCACGCCTGCTTTATGGGGTGGGTTGAATGTTGAAAATGCTTCCTACAGAAAAACCCCAGACATAATTACTGGAAAGGAAGAGATCCAGGAAGGTTACACACACGCAAGTGTCTACAGTGTTGTAGCTTTACATTCTTAAGGAGACACAGCATGCTCACTAAAATTTTGACCCTCACCATTTCTGGTCTTTGGGAACCTTTGCTTCAGCATCCCCCTTAGAGGAGTAATCTTGGATGACATCGTCGGCACGCCGACATAAAAATCTGCCTTGATTTCACCATCCAAAATCTGGCGGGGAAGAAGAAAAGATTATTATGATTTGTGCTTATGTCCCTTTTAGAAATTAAGTCTAGCAAAAGTAAATACAGTGGCACCTCGGGTTACATACGCTTCAGGTTACAGACTCCGCTAACCCAGAAATATTACCTCGGGTTAAGAACTTTGCTTCAGGATGAGAACAGAAATCGTGCTCCGGCGGTGCAGCAGCAGTGGGAAGCCCTATTCGCTAAAGTGGTGCTTCAGGTTAAGAACAGTTTCAGGTTAAGAACGGACCTCCAGAATGAATTAAGTACTTAACCCGAGGTACCACTGTAATAAAAAAACGAACACCCAGTTTACCTCCTTACTTCCTTGCTAGGCCTAAGAAGAGCGGGGGGGGGGGGGGAGAAGAGATGAACCTGTGGTCCTCCAGGGGATTTCAACTTCCACCAGCCCCAGCCAACATGGGCAATAGTCAGGGATGATGGGAGCTGTGGTCTAGCAACGTGGGATGGGCCACAAGCTTCTCATCCTTGCACAAAGGTAACAAGGATGAAAATGTGGGAGCTGCATCCTCTTTAAAACAGGATAATGATAGCACCAGGCCATGCACAACAGCCCTTTCCCATGCTAGTTCTGTTTAGCTGCTGCTTCTCAGATGGACCTACGTTTCTTTCCTTGTTTTTCGCTGCTCCTATATCAATGTCCTTCATGAGACGGTCTCCCAGTGGGGATTCACTTACCCCTCCCATGAAAGCAATGATGCAAATATATCGCTTAAAGTTCAAAGCTTAGTATCAAGGCCAGAAGTCATAACATTCAGAAGCTGACGATAACTTTTTCAACGGCTACAAACGGCAGCAAGAACGTGTTTCTTACACATAAAGCAGTAAAGGTTTGGTCTACTTAATCAGACACGCAACAAACCCGTGTTGGAGACAAATATTTAATGATTTGCCAAGATGGCAATCTAACATATAAGCTTCAATAATACTCAGACAATGCTAGTGCAAAAAAAATGGCATTTATTTTCATTTGAAAGCAGGAGGGCTGCTTTTCTTTGCTTCTGCATAAATGACCACAATGTTCACGATCATTTTGCAGCTGAGGCAAATATTTACTTTGTGCACTCTCAGTTCTAGGACAAAAAAAAAAAAGTGAAGTGGAACGGCCTCTATTTTCTGTCTCATAATGTGTAGCTTGTAGCGAATATTACAGTACATTCCCACTACAACCAGGGACAGCGTTTGCTGAAATCCAAACACAGCAAGTTTCCCCATGTGCAAATTGCAGCACAATTGGCTAAATAATTTTCAAGACATAACAATATTGTAGCATGTCAAGGTCCTACTCTGGCATGAGCCAAAGAGGCTAAAGCAATTTGTATATATAAATATTTTAAATTCTATTTTTTTTGGTTCGCAGGAGGCATCCTCATTATGGAAAAACATCCAACCAAGAAATCAAAAAGCTGAATCGTTTGTTCTAATCTAAACTCTGAAACAGAGAGATGCAACTATTCAGCTGAGAACACAGTTTAATAATTATTTTATTATTATTATTTTATTATTAATACTCTGCCCATTGGCCTGGGGTTTCCCTAGCCACTCTGGGTCGTTTCCAGAACATATAAAAACATGGTAAACAAATGTCAAGCATTAACAACTTCCTAATAAGGGACGCGGGTGGCGCTGTGGGTAAAAGCCTCAGCGCCTAGGGCTTGCCGATCGTCAGGTCGGCAGTTTGAATCCCCGCGGCAGGGTGCACTCCCGTTGCTCGGTCCCAGCGCCTGCCAACCTAGCAGTTCGAAAGTACCCCCAGGTGCAAGTAGATAAATAGGGACCGCTTACTAGTGGGAAGGTAAACGGCGTTTCCGTGTGCGGCTCTGGCTCGCCAGAGCAGCGATGTCACGCTGGCCATGTGACCCGGAAGTGTCTCCGGACAGCGCTGGCCCCCGGCCTATAGAGTGAGATGGGCGCACAACCCTAGAGTCTGTCAAGACTGGCCCGTACGGGCAGGGGTACCTTTACCTTTACCTTTAATACAGGGCTTCTAAAAGATATCTTCTAAAGGTTGTATAGTTATTTATCTCCTTGATGTCTGCTGGGAGGGCGTTCCACAGGGTGGGTGCCATTGCTGAGTATGTCCTCTGCCTGGTTCCCTTTAACTTCACTCCTCAGAATGTGGGAACCACCAAAAGGCCCTTGGAGGTGGACCTCGGTGTCTGGGCAAATCTTGGGTAACCCGTCCTGACATACATGCATCAATTTGAGCCAATAATTAGAAAATTACAAATATATCTTCATTTCAGTTGGCAAAATCCCTTAAAAGAAGCATACGCACATACACACAAAACCCAGAAGGGGTACTTTTTAAGGGAACTTATAACAGTCTGTAAAATTCTGTTCTGCAACAACTTCAGGAGACCCCTGATGCCACTATATCTCTGCACTTATACGGAATCTGAAAATATACTTTAGATTCTAACCTTCTGAAGTTGTGGGATCCTGTTTGCCTTCCTAGTAGCTCCAGAATTCAAGCAGCCTTGAGTGGCACCACAAACAATGATAAGAGTTGCTATACTGGGGGGAAATGTGATCCCCAAAAAAGGAGCAGGAAGTAACATAATACATGTATCTCAGTAGGTTCTGGCAGTGGACTCTTTTGGAGGGCTGCAACCAGGCTGCTTGTAATAATAATAATAATAATAATAATAATAATAATAATAATAATAATAATTTTACTTATACTCTGCCCATCTGAATGGGTTTCCCCAGTGCTAGTACTCTCCCGCAAGACAAGAAACAAATGTTCAAAAGTGAGAAAGATTAAAAGAACTTCTTCTTTAGGTCTTCTCACAATATTTAATTAACATCATCTGTTAATTACCGGCTTGATTAATTCAGTCCCTCCTGCAAATGTAGCTCCATTTTCTCTTGCTAGGGCAGCTTGCTCTGCATCCTGTAAGGAAACGAAAGTTCAGAATGTAGACAATAGGAGCACTAGATATTTTCCCATACAGCTTTCAAGGCTTTCTTAGGCAGGCGAAGGTGCTGCTAGGTAGGAAATGCAGACCCCCTCCCCTCTGGCCAAGTTATAGGTGTGTTTTGACTGGGTGACCCCATTGAGTGCACCAGAAGTTGGATGGGCACAATGGGGACAGCCATGATCTCTTGAGGTATCAGCTAACCAGTTAGAAATCTTGAGAATGCATTAATGCTTTAAAAAGTGCCTTGGGTGTCAAGACAAAGGCCAAGTTAATCGATCATATTTTGCAGGAATCACAGCACCCAACAGAACCAGAATGATCTGCAGGCTATTTGACAGGTACACCAGCAGGCTGTGGCTTTCCTTCTGCCCAGCCCCACTTAATAGGGCCATTGTAAGGGGTTATGGATGGGACGCGGGTAGCGCTGTGGGTTAAACCACAGAGCCTAGGACTTGCTGATCAGAAGGTCAGCGGTTTGAATCCCCACAACAGGGTGAGCTCCTGTTGCTCGGTCCCTGCTCCTGCCAACCTAGCAGTTCAAAAGCATGTCAAAGTGCAAGTAGATAAATAGGTACCGCTCCGGCGGGAAGGTTAATGGCATTTCCATGCGCTGCTCTGGTTCGCCAGAAGCGGCTTAGTCATGCTGGCCACATGACCCGGAAGCTGTACGCAGGCTCCCTCAGCCAATAAAGCGAGATGAGAGTTGCAACCCCAGAGTCAGTCACGACTGGACCTAATGGTCAGGGGTCCCTTTACCTTTAAGGGGTCATGGATGTGAAGTACTTTAACATTCTCTGATATCACTTCACCCATTCCAAGATCAAGCTCTGGCTCAAGGGTTCTCAGGAACATCATAATCTAGAACACACTGTACCAAACGCACACCACGGAGAATAAAATATACATTTAGAAAACCTTCCGGATATATCCAAAAAGGGTGAGATATCTGCTAGATTCTTCAAGAGTGGCATCGAGGCCACTGCCTCAAAACACTTGCCTGACTAACCTATACATACAGGCTCAAGGAGGCATTGCAGCAACATGCTGTAACTCACCGCTGTGAATACTACGACCTTATGGATGTCATCTGTGAAAAGGTGAGGCAGACGAACCGTACCAACGAATGGTTCCAAAGGTTTCTGAAAGGTGCCAAAGCAAACAAGCAAAATTGAAAAGCCTCACATTATTGAATTCAGCAAAATAAATTTACTTAATTGGCAAAGGCAAGTTGGTCAAAATTTAGATATGTGCTCTGTATTTCTTTTCACGTGCACAGAAACCACATTAAGATTTTTAAAAACTATTTAAAATATACACAAAATGCATGATTGTCAAGGTCCAAATAACTGTTCAACTAGCTTCTATGAGCCGAAGGAAGCCCCTGAAAATATCCCTATAATCTTCTTCAAAGATCATCACCACAAGCCAAACATTCTGCGGTGTGTTGCAGAAAATATCCTGGATGACTAGAGGCTTGCACCTCATCTTTGCTTCTCCTTCTGTTAGCATTTTTGCATCGATAATTGCATTGACACAAATTTAGACAAAGGTCTCCCCAGTGGAATGAAGGCCCAGGGCAGAGAGGGGCAGAACTCACAATTCAGTGCAAGCTTATAAAATGCAAGTGAAGATATTTCACCTAAACGTTTTGGGAGCCCTTCTTCGGGCATCATGTCTGAACGAGCAACCTCTGAAAAATTGCACTGAATGTTTTTAAAAAACAAACTAACTTTCAAAGTCCCAGAAATAATTTCAGTTATAAAGGAAAGTGGACACCAATACTTGCAAACTATGGGCCTTTTCCAGCATACCTTCTTCTCCATTGCCATGTCCAGGGTCATATCGATGTAAACGTGCTGCTTGGGGGAAGTGAAGTCCAGTTGCTGAAACGTCTTCAGCATCTCTAAAGCCACTTCTGCCTCATAAACTGGCCTTTGATAGCACCACGTCAAATAAACATCGTCCTTTGGCTCACTTGGCAAGGGAAAGGTGTAAGGGTTCTTTTTTTTCTTGGGCTCTGATTCTGCGGCCTTCTTTTTGGCGTCCCTTCTGGGTTTTTTCTCTTTTCTTTAAGGAAATGGAAGTGATAAATAAAACAGCCCAGCTCAATACTCTTACTATAAAAACACATGTTTCTGATGGCTGGAAGTTGGAACTAAAAGAGGAGAGCTGCCTCAATCTGTGGCAAAACAGAGGAAAACATTTCAAGGTGCCACAGGAGGTTGCTTTGTTTTAGAAAACTGCCTACCAGGTTTTGAACTCACTGCTTTCCCTCCCCCTTGGATACTTTTAAAAAAAAAAACATTCCCCAAGATAATAGGTACAGGTTCGTTTTACACCTGGAAATAAAACCAATTGTCTAGCACAGGGGTAGGCAACCTAAGGCCTGGGAGCCGGATGCAGCCCGCCAGCATTTTAAAATCCGCCCCGGGACAGCGGAGGACTTCTTCGCTGTCCCGGGGCGATTTAAAAGCCCCCGGGAAGGCAGGCAGGGGGGAGCAAAGACTTTTGCCCCCCGCCGGCCTTCAGAAGAGGTCCTGGACCTCTTCTGAAGGCCGGCGGGGGGCGAAAGTCTTTGCTCCCCCCCCGCCTGCCTTCAAAAGCCGTCTGGGATAGCGGAGAAACGAAGGCTGGCGGCGGGAGGAGGTCTCTCCGCCCCGCCGCCAGCCTTCGGAGGAGGTCTGAGGACAGTGGGGAAGACGCGCTGCGCTTCCCCGCTGTCCCGGAGATTTCCCTATGGGCTTTCGTCTTGCGAAGGAAGCCCATAGGGAAATTCATTTGCGAAGCACCTCCAAAATGGAAAACCCTTTCGTCTAGCGGGTTTTCCGTCTTGCGAGGCGTTCGTCTTGCGGGGCACCACTGTATTTTAAATGCATCTCTGGGTTATTTGTGGGGCATAGGAATTCGTTCCTTTTATTTTTTCAAAATATAGTCTGGCCCACCACATGGTCTGAGGGACGGTGGACCAGCCCATGGCTAAAAAAGGATGCTGACCCCTGGTCTAGCACTAATCTTCAGTTAGCAGATTGGGACCCGCAAATGTGTCACATCATTCTCTTATTTTGTTGAGAAGAAAATCTATATCCTACCTTGCTCTGCAATGTAATAAGGACCCTAACTACAATACAAACAAAACAACAATTAAAAAAACAGATATGAAAACAATTAAAAAAAAAAAAAGTATGGGGAGATCTTGGGGACCGAGTCCTGCCCCAGAAACAGGTTGCCTTTCTGAACTCAGCTACCAGCGACATGCTTGCCTGAACCTATCCAATGTTGCTATTTATACTTTGATTTCAAGTGTCTTTTATTAGTAAGTTTAAAAGAAATAAAAGTTATTTACTTACTTTGCAGCATAGTGTCTATTGGAAATCAGCAAACTGGCAAAACTGGGAAGCACTGCAGAATGCTGACCAATTCTGGGGAAAATACGGCTAGGGCATTGAGCTGAAACTGTTTATAGACGGGGGGGGGGGGGTAGAGAAAAACCATGCTAATGAGAGCCAGGAATCAGAAAAGCTACAAATGAAGTTATGTGACAGAACTGGCATTAATAGGCCTTTGCATTTAGTGATTCCAAAGATATATGATTTCTTACCCTCCTTGCACCATAAGGTCCCACTGCAGGTTATAACAATATAATTACACAATTATAACAACAAATAAAACAGTTCCAAACAAAAGTACAGTATAGATTAAATGTGACACCAAAAGGCCTATGTAAGGTTCAAGACCGAGCACACTTGAGCTGCCTACGTACTTCTCTCCACCACTAGTTTGGGAAGGAGTGCATACACATTAGTCAGAATTTATATTTATATACTGCATCTATCCGGTCATTTCTTACTATATGCTGCATTTTGATGAGCTTTGAGGTAAACTAAGAAAAAGAACAACCTAACTGCATTTTGGGACGCGGGTGGCGCTATGGGTTAAACCACAGAGCCTAGGACTTGCCGATCAGAAGGTCGGCGGTTCGAATCCCCGCAACGGGGTGAGCTCCCGTTGCTTGGTCCCTGCTCCTGCCCACCTAGCAGTTCGAAAGCACGTCAAAGTGCAAGTAGATAAATAGGTACTGCTCCGGTGGGAAGGTAAACGGCTTTTCCGTGCGCTGCTCTGGTTCGCCAGAAGCAGCTTAGTCATGCTGAACACATGACCCAGAAGCTGAACACCTGCTCCCTCGGCCAATAAACAAGACGAGCACCACAACCCCAGAGTCGGCCACGACTGGACCTAACGGTCAGGGGTCCCTTTACCTTTAACTGCATTTTAAGCTGGTAATATGTACACAGCCTTACTTGGAAGTAAAATTTGTTGAAATCAATGGTCTATGCTTCGAACTAGAGAGATTTCTGGTACAGTTCTCACTTATTTCTCTGGTCTTCACCGCTCCTGACTGCAGATGGGTGCTCACATATCTGAACGTTCATCCATTAAAACATGCCTCCACACAGAAAACGAAATGTCATGTTTGAGGCTAAGTTAGAACACATTCTTCCCTAGTCTTCTTTCTGAAAGGAACTTTTTGTGTAGAGGAGCATTCAGTCTGCTGCCAGAAATGATAAAGCCAAAAGGCTTATTATTTCACTGAGAGTTAGAATCTTTGGAGAGAATAACTGTTTTTACTCCAGTCATCAAAATCCATTTGGCTGCTTAGATAGAATGAATTGGTCCATCAGTAAGCAAAAATGTGCTATGATATGGGATGTTTTCCAGGTTAAAGAAGTAACTCTAGTGCTAGGGAGCTCAACACAACTACCTGAGGGGTGGTTACACTGAGTACACCTATTAGGAATATGGCATGTAAAATGTGGTATTTAACTCATGCACCATTCTAACTCATGTTTGTATTTTAATGAAACTTATCAGTCCAAGTTCCTGTGTGGGACCCTTCCAAGTTCAATGGGAGTTATGGGCCACCACACCTAAAAATCATGAATGGTTCACCAACTTTAGTCCTTTTAGATAAGTGACTAAACACAGTGTGCAGCACTTAACACTACCACCCATATGGTATAATGCCGCCACAGGGTTCTCAAGAACAAACTACAGAACATTAATAGTACATTCCGTTAATTTAAGGAAGAGAAACCAAAATCTGGCTCTGGAAGAAGAAGAAAAATCCCAGCAAACAAAGAGCATCTCATTACGTATTTTTATGTTGTGAACCACCTTGTGATCTCCGGTTGAGCGGCAGTATGCAAATTTAATGAATGAAATTAAATGAAAATTCCATTACTATATTGATCCTCACACACGTCTTTCCCTACAAGCCTTTCATAAACTTTTGCATGCTTTAAAGCAGGGTGGCAAACCTTTCTTTCGTTTCACTGTTTTCTCTTATTGTAAACTACTTTGAGGTTTGTTTGTTTGTTTGTTTGTCTATCAAGCGGTGTATAAATCTGATCAAGTAAAATAAATGTATTCAATTTTTAATGATTTTCAATTTTATACATTTCAATAATTCTATAATCATTTCAACATTTCAAAACTCGACTTCCTTCCCCCTCTTTCTGAAGTTCCTTAAATTTATTTTTTTAATATTTTCTGCGTATCCCGATTAACTTAATTTGCTCATTTGTTCATCTGCTTAAATATACTGTATACTCTTATAAAACTGCAGGTTGTTTCAATAATCCTGCCAATGCTCTTATCTGTTCACAGCTTATTTGTAAATAAATGCAATCCAAGCCCTTATTGCTGGAAATATTTGCTTCTCTGCCGCCTTTTCTGGCAGCCCTGGCAGTGCAATCCTATTATATACGTCTACTTAGAAATAAGTCCCATTTGAGTTCTCTGGGGTTTTGCTTACAAGTGGAGGAGCAGAAGACCCTGCTAACTACGGCGCCTTCTGTCTTAAAACATCGCAAAAGGGAGACCGAGCACACACAAAAAACCCCAAACAAACCCAAAAACAAAGCACGTTTTCCAGGACCGGGGAAGCGGGGACGCCCCTCTCACCTAAAACCCGCATGCACCGACCTCAATGGGAGCCGGCTCTCGGGAAAAGAGACCCTCAGCCCTAAAATATTTCGAGGAGGGGCCTGGGGAGGGACACAGAAAGCAGCCGCCCCACTTCTCAGCTCTCACCTGTCCTCCAGCAGCATCTCAACACGGGCGCCGCCATCTTGCCGGCGGGAGGGAGGAATCCGAAATGTGCAACGGAAAACCGTCCGCGGTTGCCTCGCGAAGCCAGGCAAAGAAGGTTCCGCCCCTAAGGCGAAGGGATTAAAGTTCCTAGTCTTATTCAATACATTTATATCCCCACCTTTCTCCTCAAGTGGGGATTCAAGGTGGCTTACAAACATGTAAAGACACCAATTACAAAAGACAGAGAGATATAAAGGAGCTTAAAAGGTAAAGGGGCCCCTGACCATTAGGTCCAGTTGTGGCCGACTCTGGGGTTGCGGTGCTCATCTCGCTTTATTGGCCGAGGGAGCAAGCGTACAGCTTCCGGGTCATGTGGCCAGCACGACTAAGCCGCTTCTGGCGAACCAGAGCAGTGCACGGAAACGCCGTTTTACCTTCCCGCCGGAGTGGTACCTATTTATCTACTTGCACTCTGACGTGCTTTTGAACTGCTAGGTTGGCAGGAGCAGGGACCAAGCAACGGGAGCTCACCCCGTCGCGGGGATTCGAACCGCCGACCATATGATCAGCAAGTCCTAGGCTCTGTGGTTTAACCCACAGCGCCACCCAGCTTAGTTCAAAGCAATAACCAAAATGCGCCAGGGCACAGAGCAATAATAATGCATGAAATAATGCACCAAACAGTTGATGGCGAGGCCCTGTGTTCATTTATCTGCATCACTTGGGAAGACAGGCGGACTAATGCCAGTGTATTGGAAGAAGCAAAGATCACCAGTGTTGAAGCAATGATTCTTCAACATCAACTTCGTTGGACTGGTCATGTTGTGTGGATGCCTAATTATCATCTTCCAATGCAACTACTCTATTCCAAACTTAAAAATGGAAAGCGTAATGCTGGTGGTCAATAACAGAGGTTTAAAGACTCTCTCAAGGCAAATCTAAAAAAAAATGTAGTATAAACACCGACAACTGGGATATATTGGCCTGCAAGCGCTCCAGTTGGAGAACGGCCTTTACCAAAGGTGTCATGGGCTTTGAAGACGCTTGAACTCAGGACGAAAGGGAGAAATGTGCTAAGAGGAAGGCACACTTGGCAAATCCACACCGTGATCAACTCCCGTCTGGAAACCAATGTCCCCCTGTGGAAGGACGTGTGGATCCAGAATTGGCCTCCACAGTCACTTACGGACTCATTGTTAAAACTGTGTTTATAGAAGGCAATCTTACTCGGCTACAGGTGATCGCCAAAGAAGAAGAAGAAGCACCATTAAAGCTGGTCTTGACTTTTCTGGAGAAGGAAATTGACAAGGTGAGGAGGTGGGGAGAGCAGCAATGCAACATCGTCTAGTCTCCTCAGTCGGTAAAGCGTGTAGCTCTTAAATGTAGGTTCGAGCACCACATAGGGCAAAAGATTCCTGCATCGCAGGTGGCTGAACTAGATGACCCCCAAGGCCCCTTCCAACTGTACTGTTCAATGATTCCTCGGAAATACCATCAGAATGGATGCTCCGTAAACAGGGCTGGCCCACCTATGGGGCAAGGTGAAGAGGTTGCCTCAGGTGGCAGGATTCCCTGGCGCAGCAGATCACGATGTCCATCTTTCTTTCCCCTTCACCTTGTTCCTGATGTAGACATTCACATCTTTTCAGTGGTGGAAACTATTTTACAATCCCATCAATTTTTTCAATTACATTTTTTCAATTAGTGCTAAAATGCTTTCCTGGCTATAATAATTATTTTTTAACCGATATTTAAATATTAGTGAAATATTGCTGAAATGAAAGAATGTTATAGCACTATAACTCTTTAATGCTAATTAAGAAAAAAACAGCAACACTGCAACATGTTCTTTTTCCTAATTAAACACTTCCAATCTACGCTTATGGACCATTAAAAATAATTAGCAAACTATTGCTTAAACCAAAGTGATATGTGTAATGCTGCAATACTAAAAGCAGTCTTACCGGTGGCCATTATTCTAGATTCAGGTAGGTAGCCCTGTTGGTCTGACACAGGTGAATTTTTTTTTTTAATTGTCTAGTAGCACCTTAGAGACCAACTAAGTTTGTTCTTGGTATAAGCTTTCGTGTGCATGCACACTTCTTCAGATAACATGCACACGAAAGCTTATACCAAGAACAAACTTAGTAGTTGGTCTCTTAGGTGCCACTGGACAATTTTTTATTTTTTATTTTTATATATTTGGTGGCCATCATGTTAGAGATGCGGATTCACCCAATTAAAAACTTTTGATCTATGCTTCCGGTCCACAACAAGTGTTTTGGGTTTTGACATTTCATGAGTAATAATGGGCAATCACACTTAAATGAGTAAGTACTTAGAGAGGTGTGTAGCTGGGTAGATCCAACTATCATCTATTTATCATGGCTTGGGAGTTATTGGGATAGCTCAGTCGGTAGAACACAAGACTCTTAATCTCAGGGTTGTGGATTCAAGCCCCACACTGGGGGCATTGCAAGGGGTTGGACTAGATGACCCTCATGGTCCCTTCCAACTCTACGATTCTGTGATTCTGGTGAATCAGACCACCACTTCCCCACCCACAACAAATATGCTGCAACTGCTGTTACAGAAAGAATATGGTGATGGTGGTGGTGGTGTTTATTTATATCCCACCTTTTTCCATCACAGGCAGCTTACAACTCAAGGCAGCTTACAACCAAAATAAAAACAGCTACAAACATAAGGGGAAAAGCAATCCTTAAAAAAAATAAAAATTAAACATCAATTTGTTGTTTAGTCGTGTCCGACTCTTCGTGACCCCATGGACCAGAGCACGCCAGGCACTCCTGTCTTCCACTGCCTCCCGCAGTTTGGTCAGACTCATATTTGTAGCTTCGAAGACACTGTCCAACCATCTCGTCCTCTGTAGTCCCCTTCTACTTGTGCCCTCCATCTTTCCCAACATCAGGGTCTTTTCCAGGGAGTCTTCTCTTCTCATGAGGTGGCCAAAGTATTGGAGCCTCAGCTTCACGATCTGTCCTTCCAGTGAGCACTCAGGGCTGATTTCCTTAAGAATGCATAGGTGTGATCTTCTTGCAGTCCATGGGACTCTCAAGAGTCTCCTCCAGCACCATAATTCAAAAGCATTAATTCTTCGGTGATCAGCCTTCTTTATGGTCCAGCTCTCACTTCCATTCATCACTAGTACTGGAAAAACCATAGCTTTAACTATACGGACCTTTGTTGGCAAGGTGATTTTTAAAATGCTGTCTAGGTTTGTCATTGCTTTCCTCCCAAGAAGCAGGCGTCTCTTAATTTCGTGGCTGCTGTCACCATCTGCAGTGATCAAACATCAATAGATTAACCTTTTAAAAATTCATCCTAATTTTAATCCAAATTAAAACATTTTTCTGCCTGCTGCACAAAAGGTCCTTCAAGGCAGTTAACAATGTTAAAAATAAAAACTATTCAGAACAGCAAACTTGAAGCGGTCAAACATTTAAGGATCCTGAGAGACTCCAGAAGTTTTGATAACAGGTACACCATCTCTGACACTACAATAGCATGGAGTCCGTGATGCTATTGGGATTCTGAAAAGGAATCTTTTCAGTTCATCCCCCATGTTGTCAGAAATGTTCAAATGAACAGTCCAAACTTTGTTGGTCCCACAGCGACACTCGAGGGCCAACATTTAGGAAAAGCCCCAATAGTGTGGGAGGTCAATTGCAATTCCACTTGTATCTTACAGTGGAAGACAGTTTCAGCTCTAGGTACGCAGCCCTGCGTACACACTTTGGCTTTAAAGCACATTCAGAGCATGTCCCCCCCCCCCTCAAATAATTCTGGGCACTATAGCTTGTTTAGGGTTGCTGAGTTTTGTAACTCTGCAAGAGGGAAACAACAGCGCCAGGTCACTCCTCCTGAAATGAAAAGGAGGTGAATCATCAAGCTTGCGATTTCACAAGGGATTCTTGACCTTTTGAGTTTAGTTCAACCTCCGCATTACTCCTTCGGAGTCTCAGAGGTTGGCAAGGATTCAGGGCGTTCCATCCCAAGACTGTGGTTTTTATAATCCGCCTGTGCTCTTATTACAGGAACAGAGCCCGCACGGTTGGGCTAAATCAAAGCTTTTAGTTCACCTGCTGAGTAAAACACTAGGGACTTGCTTTAAGCGTTCATTATTCTGTTTCCTTTTTAATTAGCTCGGCTTTGGTCTCGGGTCAAGTGAGTTTAAATGGGATCATGTACTCCAGATTTAACTACTTGTTATTTCTTAATACTACAGTAATTGCATGTGGGAACAAAACGGGACAACCATGGAGAGGGGACGGTTATCTGATCTGGAGCAGGCCATTTGTGTGTGAAGGCATATCTAGTCCAGGGTTGTGAACCTGGCACCCATGGGAGATGTGGCACCCATGAAGTCTTGCACTGGTACCCTTGGGCAGGTACCCCCAGACTCTGAGCTTTCAGATAAAAATATAAAGTACGTCTCTAGCCCTCCTACGAAGAAAGTTATAGGGCAAAATGTGCAGGTATCTTCTGAGTGAATTCTGTGAAATGAGCTTGAGTGTTGTGTGGCCACTTTGTATATTTTCCCGGGGCTGAGGAATGTTCCCTGTGGCTGTCTCTAATTTTGTGTTATGCCACACTCCCCATGGAAGCCACTTTGTTATGCCATGCCCTCCATAGCATACCCTCCAAGGTACGCAGGTGGCGTTGTGGTCTAAACCACTGTGCCTCTTGGGCTTGCCGATCAGAAGGTCAGCGGTTCAAATCCCCACAACGGGATGAGCTCCCATTGCTTTGTCCCAGCTCCTGCCAACCTAGCAGTTCAAAAGCACACCAGTGCAAGCAGATAAAGAGGTACCGTTGTGGGGGGAAGGTAAACAACATTTCTGTGCGTTCTGGTTTCCGTCATGGTGTCCCGTTGCGCCAGAAGTGGTTTAGTCATGCTGGCCACATGACCCAGAAACCTGTCTTCAGGCAAACGCCAGCTCCCTCACCCTGAAAGCGAGATGAGTGCCGCAACCCCGTAGTCACCTTTGAGTGGACTTAACTATCCAGGGGTTCTTTACCTTTTTTTTAAAAAGCATACCCTCCAACACACCGAGGTGAAAAATAGGGACGCTGCCTTCCGGGCACCACTCCTGTGTGAGTT